CCTTCGTGGCAAAAATGTACACGCCCATAATAACTGCTACTAAATCATCATACATCAACATTTCTTTCTACTTTTTTTTTCATGAATCACTTAAACAACTTATAACGTACTCAAAACTACCAAACATTCAATAATTTTCTGGATTTTAACCCTTTAAATGCCTGTTTAATTATTTGAATTATTTCATTATTTATGACAAAAAACACAAAAAATGAATTTTTTTCAATATAATAATTAGTAGAGGGATGGAACTTTGGTGGTTATTAGAGTCTTGGATGTGTCAAAGATTAGCAACAAAATTGATTTGACTGCATTATTATTTTTTACGTAGTATCAGATACTACCTCTGGACACCTTCGTGGCAAAAATGTACACGCCCATAATAACTGCTATTAAATCATCATACATTAATATCTTTTTCTACTTTTTTTTTCATGAATCACATATACAACTTCTAACGTATTCAAAACTACCAAACATTCAATCATTGGCAGGATTTTAACCCTTTAAATGCCTGTTTAATTATTTGAATTATTTCATTTTTTCTTACGAAAAAACACAAAACATAATTATTTTTCAATATAATAATTAGTAGAGGGATGGAACTTTGGTGGTTATTAGAGTCTTGGATGTGTCAAAGATTAGCAACAAAATTGATTTCACTGCATTATTATTTTGTACGTAGTGTCAGATACTACCTCTGGACACCTTCGTGGCAAAAATGTACACGCCCATAATAACTTCTATTAAATCATCATATATCAATATTTCTTTCTACTTTTTGTTTCATGAATCACATAACCAACTTATAACATACTCAGAACTAGCAAACATTCAATACCTTTCTGGATTTTAACCCTTTAAATGCCTGTTTAATTATTTGAATTATTTCATTATTTATTACAAAAAAACACAAAAAATGAATTTCTTTCAATATAATAATTAGTAGAGGGATGGAACTTTGGTGGTTACTAGAGTCTGGGATGTGTCAAAGATTAGCAACAAAATTGATTTGACTGCATTATTATTTTTTACGTAGTATCAGATACTACCTCTGGACACCTTCGTGGCAAAAATGTACACGCCCATAATAACTTCTATTAAATCATCATACATCAATATCTTTTTCTACTTTTTTTTCATGAATCACATAAACAACTTCTAACGTACTCAAAACTACCATTTTCGGTTTCGATTTTAACCCTTTAAATGCCTGTTTCATTATTTTCATTATTTCATTTATCTCAAAAATGCCTCATTGACTTCCATTCAGACCACATTTGTTGATCTCACTGCCATTGCAGTATAAAACCATGCATTTTGTAATGTCAGCATTTCATTTAGAAGAAAAGTAGTGATATTTGATATTTCTACTCTATTCCAACAGATTAAACCATTTTCCCACTGTAGGCCGATGCATTAAATTCTTACATTTTTGCCAGTTATATTATGGAGCCGTGTGACTACCAGGGGGCCCCGAGAGTGGTGTGTGTGTGTGTGTGTGTGTGTATGTATATGTATATGTGTGTGCGTGTGCGTGTGCGTGTGCGTGTGCGTGTGTATATGTGCGTGTGTGTGTGTGTGTGTCATTTCCAGCAGCAGACTAGCAGGTCCTGCAGCATGTGACCTGGTGCTCTCAGGTGATAGAACAACATTTTTTTAGGCCTGTGCACAACCAGCACACACCTCTCCTCCCTCTCCGTGTGTGTGTGAGAATCTGTAAGCATGCACAGATCATTTCATGGGAACAAAAGGCCATCTTTTGAGGGATGTGTTTGATGTGTTTTTGAAGAGCTGCTTGATTACTCAAAAACAAAAAACAAATGTTAGTGTGTTTATGCACCTGGCTGCCAAAGATAAACATGCAGTTTGACCAAGGGCTTATTTCATTAGTGAGCAGAGAAGGAGAAAGACCTGGAGCAAAGAGAAGGAACTCAAATGAAGAAGCTTTTCAGTGCAGAAGAGACTTCAGAAATAATCTTGCAGCCTTCTTCTGCCAGCGAGCTGCAGGACTCATCTGAAGAAGACACAAGGTTCGAGCTGGGGTCTGACACTGAATGCTCTCTGGAGTCCAGCATTTCTTTGAGTTCCTCTGACCCTTCATCTGAAAGTGGAGAGGACACTGAGGGTCCGGTCCACAGTGAGGGGACAGAGAAGAACGGAGGTCGTTCTCCCAGGAGCTGGGGAAAACCAGGGTGTCCTCACAGATTGTGAGAAGAAAGCCCCCCGTGGTGGTGGATGGTGGGCCGGACCCTTAGTGTCCTCTCCACTTTCAGATGAAGGGTCAGAGGAACTCAAAGAAATGCTGGACTCCAGAGAGCATTCAGTGTCAGACCCCAGCTCGAACCTTGTGTCTTCTTCAGATGAGTCCTGCAGCTCGCTGGGGTTCCCTGATGCTCACGGTCTGGTAATTGTTTTATAGGAGCCATAGTTTTTGAACAGGTGGCAAAATTGTCAGATATACTCCTCAATGCATTCTTATGGGACTCAGTGCTGCAGTTGGTTGTCATGGTGTTGCTGGGCAGATTGGAGCCACACACACCTGAGTGACATCATCTAATCAGAACAGACACCATGGAAACCTTTGATCTCTGGACACACACACAGGTGTTATGATTGGGTGTTATGAGTAGGTGCTCAGGAACAGAAACAAACACTGACAGACTGGACTTTAACAGACTGTCTCAGCCTATTCTTTTCTGTCTGATGGAGACTTCATACTGACTTCAACAGGTTCCACATATTTTATACATTATTGGTGACGTATGGTTTTAGTCAAAAGGTTTGCAGTCAAAATATTCTGCTGCTTTCCCAAGCCTTTTTACTTTCTTTTCTCTTCTTAATACAAATTCATTCACTACTACTTACATCTGATATGTAACTCCTTCAGCCTATTTTCAGCTGCAGAAACCATTCAACTATTACATTATTCAGCTATTTCAGGACATCAAGGCTATACATGTTGTTTATACCTTTTTTTAAACCTTTTTAAAGGGCCCCAAAACAATATTTGCACCGGGGCCAATCACAGCCTTGTTACGCCACTGATTTGTACTCCAATACTTCCCACCTCTGCTGTCACGATCTGTCTGTGTTGTGTTTTGTCATGTCAAGATCTGTCTTTGGTTTCCTGTTTTATTTTTGAAAAGTGTTCACCCCCCGTCTTGCCTGTTGCTTCGTGTCTGTGTGTTCCCTCCTACCTGTTCCCTCCTACCTGATTACCTGATTGTGTTCACCTTGTGCCCCTGTGTTTTCTCCTCCCTCCTCACCTGTGTCTTGTTTGTTTCATTAGTCCTGTGTGCATTTAGGTTCTGCTTTTTCTGTCTGTCTTTGTGAGATTCTTGTTTGTTATTGACTGTGTTCACTGGGAAGAGAGTTCAGCTCTTTATGTTAATGTTTTAGCCTTGAACTAAGGCATTCTGTCAGGGTGAGTGAAGCAGGCAGGACCCAAATGCAGGAACAGATACAAGGTTTAACCAAAAATACCTTTATTTCAAGAAAAAAACGGAAACTGGACTGACTATGAAAATAAACAGATCATGACAGACATAGCATCACAACAAATAAGAGCTAACTACAGAACATATTTATATATGACTGTCCTTTTACATTTAAATATTTTGTAAGTGCAATATTGGTTATTCCTTTCTCTTCCTCTTTCTATTCAAATGTGTTCTTTTATTAGCCATGGAAAAAATAAATATAATTAACTTTATCTGTATAGCAACTTTCATAAAATAAATGGACATAGAATGAACATAAGACCAGGGTGAGAATGCCAAATGAAAAGAAAACAAAATGAAAAGTGTAGGGACAGGAAATTAATGAAAATGTTGAATATGAGTTTTCTTTTATGTCACCTGCACTGATGGCATTAGGGTTGAGGTAGAAGTCTTGAATCCAATCTCTGTTCAGAGTCGGGTGTACTGACCCTTTAACTGATCCAGTCCCAGCTGTACTGAGGCAGCTCTAATCACTGCGTTTCCTCTAAATCCTGCACTGGCTCATAATCCTTTTTAAGAACATTGCAGCACACTTTAGCTCTGGGTTTGATATGCAAAGAGACACATTATCTCCTTTTCAATGCTTTGTTAAAAACATGTATTTATTACTGTTGGGGAAATATTTTCCAAGGCCCATAACTTTGACCCAGTGTATCAGTTCATACTGTCCTGACTGAGCACAGGCACCTGCATCCTTGGCTGCTGTGCTCTCAGTGCTCTGTCTCCATGTTCCTGCCTGTTGGCGTCAGCTGATAGAGGTGTTATGGTTCTATGTTCCTGCCTGTTGGCGTCAGCTGATAGAGGTGTTATGGTTCTATCTTGTTATGCACAATGTTGATTTTTCTCTCAGAACTAGCTAAATACATGGGTCTGGGGTAGAGTTCTTCAGAATTGGTTTGGCATCTCAACCTGTGGTCAACTCGTGGCGCAGCACATGTCTTGTGAATTCTCCGGCCGAAGCTCCAAATAAACCATCAGTGTTTGCCATCAAAGCTCCAGCTCTCCTCGTGTCTCTCTGAGTCCTGTTTCAATTGCTTCAGAAGTTTCCCCCACAATTACTGTTGTTACATTAGTGTATGGAACACAAGTAGGAGTTTTGAATACTGAGTGATGATTATTGTCTTGCTAAGTTTAAGCCTGCAAAGCACAGCAAAGGCAGAGGTCAAGTGTATTGCATTAATATTATGGGTACACTTGGAAAACTATTCGTAATAAATGCGATCTATCCAACTCTCCTGAACGTTATTTCTCAGAAAGCTCCCCCAAACAGCCCACCCACCCCCCTACCCCTCAATACACAAATAAACACACATACACAAACACAATTATGACTATTTCATACACATCTATAAAAGGATATAAAGTTGAGGTGACGACGTGTTGGACAAACACGGCTCTAAACTGGCCTAACACTACAGACAGGTCTACAGTATAATGTATTTGTCAAATAAGAGTTAAAGTTGTGTTTAATGACTGACTGATGACTTGTGTTCACAGGTGGCGTGTAACAGGCGGCTAGCAGCTCAGCCCCCTTCAGCCTGTGTGCTGGAGGTCAGTGTGAGGGGGGTGAAGATCAGTGTCCAGGACCAGTGTCACTCTGCTCATAGGGTACGTGCACTACTCTATCTACATATCTTCACGTTCACACCTCTTCTAATCCAGCAATTGCAAGCTACTCAAAAAATAAATGTGTATCCAGTGTAAGTATGTACTTATTTAAGAAGGGACAATGCACATGAATTAACATGAGCACTTGAGTGCCATATTTAGCCATAAAGGCTCATTTTCATCTGCAGTCCCTTTAAGGTTGATGGCATTACAGGGAAACATAGGGGAGCAAAGAAAGAAAACACAAAGGCGCATTTGAAGCACAATTACAGCACATTATAAAACACACATGCACAAGTGAATGCACATTAATACAAACCCATGCGTAACACACAACACACACAAAAGCACATACATAAAAACAGATAAATGCTAATAGGCACAGACAATTAGAAAAATATGTATATAACCCTTACTCCAGTTTATGACAGCATGTCCACTGTTTTACAGATTTGGAGAAAGAGTTGAGCGATTTTATGTTCCTTAGTTTTGTCAGTAGTGTTTTGCTTGATGAGTTTTCATTTTGTTTAATGAATCCGTTAAGTGTAGGTTGGGTAGACCATGAGACATTTTATACACAAGTAAAATACCTGCACCATGGTGAGATATCTGCCAGTCAGTGGAAATCTTGCAGTTAAATAATTAAAACTTGACATTTCTCTGTGTGTCTGTTTTTGTCAGGGAGACCAGTGTTTCCATTTCTTCCAGTTGAAGAACATCTCATTCTGTGGCTGTCATCCAAAACACAGCAAGTGAGTCTCACTACTTCATCTAGCACACTTGCATGACAAATGCATTAAACTAACATTAAAGTGTCTCTATTCTCACACTGTGTGTGTCATCACATTTACATGACAATAATATACTGCTTTGTGCACTACAGCCTCCACAGACGTGTGTGAATAAGTCATGCTGATTGTTGCCCGCAGGTATTTTGGTCTCATCACCAAACACCCTGACCAGCAGCGCTTCGCCTGTCATGTGATGGTTGCAGAGACAACACTACATCCTCTAGCTGAGTCTGTAGGGTAAGACAAATGTATTTTATTGTTGTTCATTTTATACATATTTTGTGACTTTTACTATTGGATATCTGCTCAGTGGTGGAAAGTAACTAAATACAATTACTCAAGTACTCCTGAGGGAACCTTACGTTTTGGGGTATTTCTTTACTGTGCAGCATTGAAATACTGCCTGTTTCTTAAGGCTTCAGTAACAATACCTTTAGCAACAGAAAACTGCACTCATGATTCAAAGATTTAAAAAATGAAATACTGTAGAGTAGAATAAATAATGTATCTCCACAGCTTGCAACATAAACCTTCTGTATACGTTAATATCCTTATGCTGTGTTCACACCGGACACGATGCGATGTTTGGGGGCGGCACGATTACATGTAAAGTCAATGCAGAGACGCGGACAGACGCTCCAGTTCAATTTTTTCAACTCGAGCGTCATATTCGCGTGACGCGATCTCGCGGTAGCCAATCAGCGGTGAGGATCTCAGCCTGCCGTCACTGACGTTCAACCAGAAAACATCATCCGTTAGCTGTTAGCAGTTAGCACACAGAGCTCACAGCTCCTCATATCTGTTCAGAAACTGGACAAAAGTTAAACAAGTACAAACCACAGACTGTCTGTCTCATGGCGAATACAGTCGCTCGTTTATTTATGTCTGTAGGCCGTTGTTATGAGTGTGGAATGAGCATATACAACGTTAGCTTAGCCTGGTCGATCCGATCTTCATTCAGAAAACAAGCATTTTAAAAGGCTTTTCGCCTGCCGTCTGTCTGCAGACTTGTCAAGCATTAATTCATGGTTTTTACTAACCGGTATCAGTATGTTGTTACTTCGGCATCATTTAGAAACGTGTATTACAATTTAATCACGGTAAAATATGTTCATTTTGTTGTAGTTGTAGCTCCCGAGCCAGCGCGTCTTGAATGATGCGAGTAAACACAGCTGACAGCCGCGGTGAAACTTGAGCGTTTAGAGCGATGCGATAAGAGCGATTAGAGCGAAGTGAATATTCGCATCGCGTCCGGTGTGAACGCAGCATTATGCTGCGTTCACACCGGATTAAGGGTTAGATTGAGCAGCCTGCTCACTTTAAAATTACATTCCCAATTATGCTTTGACGGATGTCATTTGTCCTGTATGTTTATGACGTATCAAAAAATAAGTTTGAAATCATATTTCACAAAGGTCTGCTCGTGTTTGTGGGCCAGATGACATGAGGGGGAGGAATTTCCATGAAATACTTGTGACCAGTTGGTTTGTCACTTAGCATCTTAATAACTTATCCACAGTTTACGAAGCAGGTATAAGAGTAATCAGTATAAACATTAACTTAAAATAATCTACCTGCTGCCGGAACCCATGGATGGAACCAGGGACCTTTAGATCTTCAGTCTAACGCTCTCCCAACTGAGCAATTTCGGCCCAAAAGACCACGATTTGGTGGACGACAGGCGCAAAAACTGAGCAACATCTCATAAAAATATTACTTATGCTTTAATACTAGGTAGCAGTTGGGAATTCACTTATCCACATTTTACAAAGCAGGTGTAAGAGAAATCTATATGTACAACTTAGAAAGGCCCCAAATCAGACTGCTACGAGTGGGCAGATCCAACCATCAAGCACACCGAGGAGTCATCAAGTATGACCATCAACCAACTCACAACCTGGGAGTCACACACCTTAAAGTGGACCTATCATGCTATATTTGAATAATATAGTGTAGGACCATACCTATATAAGGCATATTTATACTTTTTTTTTTTCAAAATACCAAACAGATCATGCATTTTAGCCATGCCTCATTTCGCTCAATTTGCACTTTTCTAGCTCTGTTTTTGCAAGGGCTGATTCTGTGAGAACAGCACCACCTACAGGCCTGGCATATGTACTACAGCGTCTCCAGCGCTTTCGAGCGGCAATGGCCGTGGCTGTCTCCTCCTGATTGGTGGAGTTGGCCCAATAGCCGTAGCGCCACTGTCTTGACGTCAGGACAGTGTTCAAATCTGGATCAGTTTTGATCAGATCCGTTGCAGCCCCTTTTTTAGAGATTTGGGTATGGAGGAAAATAGAGAGGGTTGTGTTTTCTGACACTTGGTGAGTTCCCTGGAACACCGGGGACACATATTCATGTATAAAAGATGTACAAAAGTGCATTTTGCATGATAGGTCCCCTTTAAAGTAAAGATTTCAAAACATTTGAAGACAAAAAAACTCCATTTAATTTAGTCTGGCAACTTGTTCAATGTATCCTTTTCTGTACCAAAGGGACACTCTATATCTTCCTTTGATACACAAACTTGACCTGTATCCTAAACAGTGTAGTTAATAATAGTTAGGTACACAAATATATGCTATCATCTGTCCTGATTCAAAAAAACTATTGTCATTTCATGTACTAATGATCTTCTCTGCTGTCCCACAGGAGGGCCTTCCAGCAGTATTACAGGGAAAACATTGGCTACTCCTGTCCCACTGAAGACATCTTTATTGAATAACCCCTCTCCCCCATCCACACCATGTCCTGAATACTCACTACTGTATGTGCACGTAAGCCTGGTCTTACACAGCGACCACTGATGTCTCTTCTTCAGAGTGCTTGCATGGGGGGTTTCTTTTCTTACCTGCATCCTGTAGTACAGAAAGAGTTTTATTTTCTTGATCCATGTCATAATATACATTCCTCTATGGATGGTTAGGATCACATGACATGTTCCATACACTGACCAGAAATGTTTTCCAAAACCTAACCAAATACTACGGTGGCCCTGAAGTGCAAGTCAAAACAACATTTCACAAAACGCTACAGCATTTCAGAAAACGCTACAGCATTTCACAAAACGCTACAGCGTTTCACAAAACACCACAGCATTTCACAAAACACTTTAACATTTGAACTTTTACGGAAAGGGTATTCCTTTAGGGCAGCGGCGGACTGGGACTACAAATCAGCCCGGGACTCTCGAGCGGCCCACCTCGGTACCGCAAGTAATCACCGCTAGTAAATTGTCAACGGGGGGGGATGCTAGTGACTTATCGTCCCGAACGTCCCGATGGCCAGTCCGCCCCTGCTTTAGGGAGAACACTTCTTGTTCGTGATTGGACAGAGCCAGCCAGAGAAGCACTGCTGTGATTGGTTGTTTTTGCTGCCAGTCAAGAAATGAAGCTTCGTGATTGGTCCGCACCCGACAGCGCCACGTATTTGGTTTGGTACTATTCAGCTGTTTCTGCACTAATTTTAAACTGAGTTGGAAAGAATGGAAGAAGAGATGGAAATCTTAAGGGAATATTTTAACAACGGATATACATATGATGTTATCCTCGACATGCTGTCAACCCATCACCACATCAACATGTCCCAAAACATCAGCCGTTAGTTGTTAGCACACAGAGCTCACAGCTCCTCATATCTGTTCAGAAACTGGACAAAAGTTAAACAAGTACAAACCACAGACTGTCTGTGTCATGGCGAATACAGTCGCTGCTTTATTTATGTCTACATGGAGATAAGCCCCGAATATTCGCATCGCTCTAATCGCTCGAGTCTCACCGCGGCTGTCAGCTGTGTTTACTCCTGTCATTCAAACAAGACGCGCTGGAGAGGGGGCGGGGCTTATATCCATGCAAATACTTTGGTAGATACCAACTACAACAAAATGAACATATTGACCGTGATTTAATTGTAATACACGTTTCAAAATGATTCCGAAGTAACAACATACTGATACCGGTTAGTAAAAACCATGAATTAATGCTTTGACAAGTCTGCAGACAGACGGCAGGCGAAAAACCTTTTAAAATGCGTGTTTTCTGAATGGAGATCGGATCGATCAGGCTAAACTAACCTGTAGCTGCTCCGTCCAAACTCACAACGACGTCCTACAGACATAAATAAAGCAGCGACTGTATTCACCATGACACAGACAGTCTGTGTTTTGTTCATGTTTAACTTTTGTCCAGTTTCTGAACAGATATGAGGAGCAGTGAGCTCTGTGTGCTAACAGCTAACGGCTGATGTTTTGGGACATGTCGCGCTGTCAGGTGCTGACCAATCACGAAGCGTCATTTCTTGACTGGCAGCAAAAACTACCAATCACAGCAGTGCTTCTCTGGCTGGCTCTGTCCAATCACAAACAAGTAGTGTAGTCCGTAAAAGTTCAAATGTTGAAGTGTTTTGTGAAATGCTGTAGCGTTTTGTGAAATGCTGTAGCGTTTTCTGAAATGCTGCGGCGTTTTCTGAAATGCTGCGGCGTTTTCTGAAATGTTGAAGTGTTTTCTGAAATGCTGTGGTGTTTTCTGAAATGCTGTGGTGTTTTCTGAAATGCTGTAGTGTTTTCTGAAATGCTGTGGTGTTTTCTGAAATGTCGTTGTGTTTTATGAAATGTTGAAGCGTTTTATGAAATGCTGTAGCGTTTTGTGAAATTCTGTAGCGTTTTATGAAATGTTGAAGAGTTTTCTGAAATGCTGTGGTGTTTTCTGAAATGCTATGGCATTTTATGAAATGTTGAAGTGTTTTCTGAAATGCTGTAGCGTTTTGTGAAATGCTGTGGTGTTTTCTGAAATGCTGTAGCATTTTCTGAAATGCTGTAGTGTTTTGTGAAATGTTGTTTTGACTTGCACTTCAGGGCCACCGTAAAATACAAATATCTGAAATGTATATATTTTATGCATTAAAATGACGTGTATGCTACTACAGGTAGATATTAGATGTAAGAGCAGACATAAAACCTTTTGTGCTGTGGAGTTAATTTAATGACAGAAGGTTTGTATGATACATTTTTGAACTTGAAACCAGTGCTCAAATTAATAATCCTTTTATTGGAACAACATAATGAATGCACAACATATCTGTATCTGTAGTGTAAGGTTTAATGTATGTACATATGCCAAACATCCTCAAAGCCTATTTAAACATCTAAAAAAAAGTAGCTACTTAACTAAATAAAAACTCATGTGATTCATGTGGGCTTGAGTTTGAATTCAGTGTTGAATTGTGTCCAACCAGATTCAGACAAACATTTGCACTTTACAGATGTGGCTCCATGGATTGTCCTTGAATCAAGCCAAATGAGCAATAAGAGAATTAGAGAAAAAGCAAGACTGTGTGTTTATGAAGAGAGGGTAAATGTTCTGTCTTTAAATTAGCATCATGCTTTACTCCACAGTTATGAAGGGCTTCTTATTAGCAACAATCCCCCCTTCAGTTCAAAAGGCCTTGGAACATACAAAAAACAAAGGACCTGCTTGTTTTTTTGCAAAAAATATTATAATATATCAACGAATAATTCTGTATCTTGTAACCCCTTGACTTGACAATCTACTGTTGAATACTGTTGGAGGTGCCTCATTTATCTCTTTACTGCTTTATGTTTATTTTCTTTCAAATGTGGTGCCAACCACAATCCCTCTATGCAGGGTTTCTCTGGTTGACCAATCAAACATTTTCTTCCTTAAACTCTGTGAAATAACAAGGCCCAAATGATTCTGTGCAATTTAGTATGTATACAAAGATCAGAGTGTTGGGGGGTGGATCACTGTGCCGTCATGTCCATGTCTTTGCACATTACTTTCAGTTCAGACTTCTTTTGCATTGCTTGCTCAAATCTAGGACCAAATATGGGGTATAATAACAAGAAAGATTCCTTTCCAAACAGATACTCTTTAGTTTGCAGCCGGTTGAAGACTAGCTCCAGACTTATATCTGCGTCAATTAACATTTGTTTTGAAACCATTGGATCAAAAGACATTGAGCAATTTATAAAAGGAATGTTCTTAGTGGTGAACAATGCGTTTACCTCAGCTCTATGGAGATTTTAAGTCTCTTTCCGCTCATTGCTTTGCTTTTCCAGTAAGCAAACTACACTCCCATCAAACTTTTTTCCAGAAGCAACCAGTAGCTTTTTTCTGCTAAAATGATTTGATAAACCCTCTGTACATTGCAGAACAAAAGTGAACCGGCAGAAAGACATGGTAGACGTGTAAAGAGACTAACATTTGCTAACCGGCTAGCCACGTAACCTAAATGAAATGAATGCAGCTTTAAGATCCAGGAAGTGAGCCTTTGGACCAGCGAATCAGAATACATCTGTTCATGCAGTTGAATTATATATTATAAAAGGATTTGAGCGTGTAAAGGCAATGGAAATGAAGCCTGAAATGTTTTATGTTTGAAAAACAGTGCCTATTTTGTTCTGGTGAAGTGGTGATGACTGTCCTCTGTAATAACCATTGACTTCAGATGTCTCTAATCACAGAATCTAAATGTATACAACATCCCCATCTCATTCAGAGGAATAGTCTTGTAGCTGGATATGACTTGGTACACCTAAAATGGCTGCCATGGAATGTTAAATAATGTAACTGGGACTCAAGAGAGCAGAGATTAGGGGAACCAGGGTTTGACTGACTGTGGAGACTATGGAGCTGATGCATCAAAGACAAAGTAATGTAACATTTTGAGAATGATGAGCTGATATTTCTGTGGAGGATATTTAGTCCCATGATGTCTCTGCTTTTGTTGCATTGGAAGGATAAAAATACAGGGCACGATTCTAAAAACGTGATTACTCTGGCATTAAAAGGGTTGAATTTTGATGGAATAGAGCTTCGGACTGAACATGTTGGTATTGATTAACAAAACGTGTCATCTGACCCCTTATAGAGTGTACTATCCACCACATGTTCATTTCCATGCCCGCCATATGAGGTGTGCCACAGGAAGTTGTTCTGATCCACCCGAAAGTGTCCTTTCTATGTATTCCACGTTTGTGATATTAACACCAATGGGATCTACTGTACATGACTCATCAATATAGATATATCCTGTAAAGATAATGTATGTATGTTTGTATACAAGTTATTATTGTATGCTGTTGGTTTGACTAAACCTGGGTGTAACGCCGCATGATATTGATGTTGTAAACTGAAGAGACACAGAAGATGCACAGACTGGTGATAATGATGGTGATCATTCTGTCAATAAATCACATTTACAACTCCACTTAGAATACATTTTCTTTTGGAAACAAAGGATCTTATTTCTATTTCATCCTTACTGACCGCCAGAGGCGGTGCTTTAGCACTGGATATCTTCTGTCTCGCGCATGCGTAGGTCGAATATTTATATCAACAGTCACGTGTGACCTCGTATGACCCCGGAAGGCATAAGTTCCGGTGTTGTCAACGAGTTCAGTTCTTTTTTCATCTTCTCGCTGCGCAGGTTACTACTTTTTGAGTAGAAGCCAAGTTAGCCCAGTGTTTTCGCTCAAGCTAATTTGTTACTGCACGACTGAAGAGAGCGTCTCCGCTCCCCTCTCACTGCACACTTTTGGTTCCTTACCTGTCCCATCCTCCAGTTAGCTGAGTGTTCTCGCTTAGGCTAACTGTTACGACGCTGGTGAAGAGAGTGTCTTCGCTCCCCTCTCACGGCGCACAATTGGTTATTTTATTTAATCGTTTATTTGACAGGGACAATGCACTGTAATGAACACTTAAAACATTAAAATGTGTCAAGCGTAACAGTGCCAGATTTAGCTTTGAGCTACTTTCCATCCACAGTCCCTCACATAAAACATTTAAGGAAATTACATTTTACAAACATGGTAAAAAAAACAAATACATGATATGCAAAGAGTGGCAACGACATATAAAGTGCAATGTTCCATCCTCCAGTTAACTGAGTGCTCTCGCTCAAAGTTAAAGGGGACCTATCATGCAAAATGCACTTTTGTACGTCTTTTATACATGAATATGTGTCCCCGGTGTTCCAGGGAACTCACCAAGTGTCAGAAAACACAACCCTCTCTATTTTCCTCCATACCCAAA